TCATGGACTGACCCTGACTTCTAGAGTTCATGTATAAAGTGCCCTGAAAATCTAATTTTAGAAAAATGAATTTATATAAAATTATATTCCTTTTCTCTTTTTTATATTATGTATTTAGTACAGGGACTCACTACATAGATTAGACTTGTAGTGATTCTCCTGTTTTTCAGCCTCACAAGCGCTGGGATTATAGGCATGCACCACCAAACCCAGTCTTAATCACCATCTCAGCACACCCCGGGGGCTGGGTCTGCATGCAGGCCAGGGATTGCCCCTGCATGTGCCTAAACAGGCGCTTTAATCAGCTGAGCTATCTGATCAGCCCTGGTATTTCTTTTTAAAGTGACTTCCTTGAAAATATAAGATATGTGGGAACAGTATTATCCTGTCTTATCACGATTTTAATTTATTATTGAAGTTTTTCAACAAAAGTTTCTCAACATTTAGAGCACTAAATTTGGAGCACCCTTTAGCTGTCTTATGTTTTCTATGAAGAAGTGTAGAATCACATCATCTTAACTAACCCATCATTTGAAGGCATCATTGAATGATATAATTAGATATCTAAACTATCCACCCACTCAAAATTTTGCATTTTGCATAATGCTGGGATGAATGGCTTATAAAACATGTTTAAAATATGCCTGTCCCCTGAAGCCTACAACAGGTACTAATAAAATCGAGCTGAAATTCCAGTCAGTGCCCAGGCCCGGTGTGTGTGAGGGGCCACCAGGGGCCAGCCAGAGCCTCACTCCAGCCAGCACCTAGGCCGGGTGTAAGTGAGTGGGACCCCACCCCTCCGCCCCCTGCTGTCCCACAGGATCTCCTTCCAGCCAGTGCCCAGGCTTGGTGTGTGTGTGTGTGTGTGTGTGTGTGTGTGTGTGTGACTGGCTGCCAGTCCACCGGATCCTTATTCCACCTAGCACTTAGGCCAAGTGTGTGTGTGTGTGTGTGTGTGTGTGTGTGTAACTTCCTCCATCAGACAGGCCTGGTGTGGAACCCTGTGACAGAACTACCTGTAGAGAAGCTAGAGGGAAGACCCACCTAGCTGATCCAAGAGCAGAACATCTTGCCGGAGTGGCATACCGGGTTCACGTCCAAGGGCTGCAGCAGGAAGAAGTAGAGCACAACAGCCAGACCCCAGCCACACCCACCTGGATGAGAGTTTGAACTTGGTAGATCCCGACGTGGTGCTAAGGTAATAACTCTACCAAAACTCTACACAAAGGTTGGAAGACAGTGGTATACAAAATGACAAAGAGAAGGAGCAAAATGTATTCTCAGGCCCTGAGCCAAACCAGAACAAATGCAGGAATCAATAGCATAGAATAAATTGGAAATCATACACCTGAAACCTCTGAAATATTAGTGTCTAAAGTAAAGAAACAACTGCAGAAAGGTATAGAGGAAATTGGATCAGAAATAATTATTGAAGTAAAAAAAAGAAACGATAACTATAATGAAAATAGTACTAAAGAAGACACTGATAAAAAAAATAGAGGGCAATAGAAAAATGATGGAATCCTTGAATGAGCGATATAGGAAAGAAATAGAATGCATGAAGCAGATTCAAAGTGATATTCAGAAAATTAAAGCTCAATCACAAGCTGGCAAAACCATTTGAATGAAAGTGAAAATAGACTTTCAGACCTTGAAGACACCATTGCAGCTAGTGACAAGGTAAGAAAACATCTCTTAAAAACAACTAGGATACAGGAAAATATAATTCAACATCTGCAAGACGATGCAAAGATGAACAATATGAGACAAATAGGCATCAATGAGAAAGAAGGAGTCAATACAAATGATATAAAAAGAATATGGGCAGAAGTAATAGCAGAAAACGTCCCAAATATGGGGAAACAATGACATTCAGGTAACCAAAGCATATAGAACTCCAAATAACATCAACCCAATTAAAAATACACCCACACATATAATAATCAAGATCTCAAAAATTCAGAACAGGAACAGTATACTAAAAGCTGCTGGAGAAAAGAAACAGATCACATTTAAAGGAAAAACCATCAAAATAATGATATATTTCTCTTCACAAATCGTCAATCAAGAACATGGAGCAAAGGACTACACATCTTGCAAGAAAGCAAATTCCAACCCAGACTGATATACCCTGAAAAACTCTCCTTCAAGTTTAATAGAGAAGTAAAATACTTCCACGACAAAGAACAACTAAAGAATTTCATGACAACAAAGCCAACTCCACACAGATTACTAAAAGATATTCTATAGAGGGATCAAGATGACCACAACTCCATGAATGAGAATGGAAAGAAACCAACAAATAGGGAAAACAATTAAACACAGGAGAAAAGGAAGTATACAACAGCAGTCTTTCATTTGTATTCTTTTGTATACAGCAGTAAAATATTCCCATCAGCATACTCTACAAATGGACTTCTGCACCCTATGAGTCGTGATTCCGTCCAGGTCTACAGGGTGGATATCCAGGAAATAGCAGTAGCTCAGGCCCACAAATGACACTTGGTCACCAGTAAGCATCATGGACACTGTCCACGTCCACCACATACTCGAACTTTGTGAGATATCCTATCTCCAAACTGTTAGAAGTGCTGGTCATATATTTGCCATTCCAGTATTTTTGTTATGATTTATTCTTAGTAATTCTTTACTGTCATGAAAACTTTTTCTTAGTTGATATTTTTGTATATCTTAACCTATTCAAATACTATGTGAATACTCTGAATTGATCACAGATTTGTACATATTGATATACTACATTCTGATCTCTTAGTTGTACTCACAAATTAATTTTAATATTTGAATATTATTTTGAAATATTTAATTTTGAGTTAATATTTAATTTTCTGAATATTGTTTAATTTTAATTCTTGTGTTATGATTCAGACTATCTTTGACTTACATTTTACTCATAAGACATGGTACGATATGTTCTCCTAGTATTAGAAGCTTTAGAAAGTATATTCCCATTTTCCATTGATTTTTATTAGTTCTTCCTTGTCCTTTACGCACACACACGCATACACACATACACACGAAAAATTATATATATAACCTGAAGATTGATACTGTTTTTTGGAAATCTTCTGGGACCTTTTAAATGGATTCATCTAATATAATTATATTTTACATAGTTCTGCATAACTACCATTTTGAGAGTTCTTTATTCTTTTTTTTTTTTTTTTTTTTTTTTTTGTATTTTAGCGAAGGGTCTACAGGGTGTTCAGGGTCTCACTACTAGATTGGATTTATAATGATCCACATGTTTACAGTCTCCCAAGATCTGGGATTACGGGGATGTGCCACCACACCCAGTCTCAATTGCTATCTCAGTGCACCCTAAGGGGCGGGGTCATCAAGGCAGGCCCAGGGATTGAACCCCCATCCCCTGCTTGCAGGTGCTTTAATTTGCTGAGAGGTCTTTATTCTTTATCCAGGACTATCCAGCAACTTCTCGTGCCTTCTGGATTATGGTCTTTGTTATTTTCTATACGCCATGTCTGGAGGTATTAGAATATTTCAAGTTTGTATAACTGGAAAACATTTTACTTCTAGTTTTCAAAGGTATGTGTGCTAAGTATAAAATTCAATGAGGACAGATATTTTATTTTTCTTTTTCAGTCTTTTGAATAAGTAAGTCTAGTTTCTTACCCACTTGCTCTTTTTTTTCTAATGTGGAATATGATGCTATTTAACTTTATTCTTCCATAGCTAATATTTTTTTCTATATATATGCTTTAATGATTTTTTTCTTTACAATTAGTTTTGGACAATTTCATTTTTTTGCATCTTGGTATGATTTTATTTATACTTCTTGTGCAAAAGGTTCATTTTTTTTGGAAATGTGGTGTTATAATTTTAACTATATTCAGAAATTTTAAATCTTTAAATATTTATTGCCTAACCCTTTCTACTTTGTGAATTCTTATTATATGAATATAAGTTTCTTGATTTTGGCACAGAGTGAACTATTATATGACTGATCTGTGATTTCTTTCTTCTCCATTTTTATTTTAAACAATTTTTATTGTCATATTCATTTAAGTTGTACATAATGTTTTTACAATGTGCAATCTATTATTAATCTCATGTTATGTATTCATTTCAGCAATATTTCTCTAAAATTCACTGTCTACATCTTATATCTTTTGCATTTCAATATTTTTCTACAATTTTTAATGTGCTATATAATTATTATTGATTTTCAATAAAGTTAATAATGAACTAAAAAAAAAATTGAGCTGACCAAATAGCTTGTCCTACTAAGATCAACTAAATATATTAGCTAAAAAAGGAACTAGAATATTGACATCAAATAGATTCATGAACACAAATGTTAAATAGGGAAAAGAGTTAAGGTTTGTTTATTCACATGGATTAAGGCAGAAAATAGAATTGTGATGACAATTCATTTGGTAATTTGGGCCGCTCTCCTAAGAAGCTTTATTACCAGGGGGCATTGTTTCTGAGGATTACGGGACTCTAAGGTAGTTCAGGGCTCCTTTGAGGATCAGAGCACATTAGCCTCTCTGCAGTGAGGCTAGAATTGCTGTGCTTTGCAGCAGGTGGTGGAGGCCAGCTGCTCTGCTGCCCTGCAGGTGGGTTGCTGGCTCCCTAGCACCTTGAGACTAAGGCTGCCTAAACCGTGCAGAGGACTAAACGCTTTGTCTAGCAGTCCATGCCACAAGAACCCAGATGCCACGTAGACAGAGAAAAAGCAATCTCATTGCAGTACTCAGAACTGGGGGTCTTCCATGTTCTTTCGAAAGACGACCATGAAATATTCATTAACATTCTTGCTTCAAACGATTTATGCAATTCCTCTTTTGGAAACATCATTCACATCATTAGTGATGTGAACCATTGATCGTATCAGCTCTGGACCACACCTCTGAATTACAAAGTTTTCTTATCCTGTTTTTATGATGCTAAAAGGCACTACTTATTACCCCTTAGTCAATCAGTCAAAGTTGTCATAACATTGAAAGACTGAATCTTACTTTTATTTGGGCAGTTTTAGTTTCATCCCATCTTGTAGCAGCGAGAGATTTTCTTGTCTGGCCTCTTCGGTGTCCAAATTTGCACTTATTTCTCATAACTTGTTCATCATCTTCTATGGGTCTTCGAACATATTTAAACCGATCTTTGAGTGCTCGCTTCCATGAAAACTGCATGAAATAACATGGCAGATCAGTTAACCTTTAAGAAGATTGTACTATCCTATATAAACAGTACAGTTTTTGTCTATCATTTTCTGGCTTGAAATTATGTTCCCATTATCATAATATAAATCATGCATGTATCCCTTAATTTATCCTTAGAACAACCTTGATCATTGCTATACCAATTAAATTTCTAAAATTAGAGCTAAGGAAGCAGACTCAGGAATGATAAGCAAATGGGAATACTGTTGAGGTAACAGTCAAGAGTCCAGCACTTACATGCTGCCTGGTTTTGCAGCTCAAGGCCCGGTAACTGCTCTTCAGAAGGCACCGTGCCCTGTGACAGGAGGATCCAGGATCTAGTACTTTCTCTAATCCGTGTGACCCAAATAACCATCAACAATCACCCTGCCAAACCTTAGTTTCTTCAAGTATGAAAATGGAACAATAAGATTTTTCCTGTCAACTGCACTAGGATTTTAAGAATCAGATGAGAAGTGATTCATGGAAGATATTTATAAGTGAAAGTGCTGTTCACAAACCATGAGGGCAGCCCTGGCTGCATGTTGAAGGGAGGGACCAGCCTCGCCCCTGATTAAGGCCCTGGGTATGTGGGAGTCATCAACTCTCAGATCCTGGGGAACTCTACCATTGCTGTTACAACACTGAAATGATAGATGGTTGATGGTTGATGTTTTTCTTAGCCCTGAAACAGGAACTAGTTCAGATGTATTTGTTTCTCATGTTTTCTGTAGCTCTGCATGGCCTCTCAACATCTACAACCTGGTGGGAAAAATTATGGCCATCAACTTCTAGGACATTATTCAATTGCCAATGTCTTCTTCTTAACCTCTCCCCATCTCTCCTTATTAAGTGACGAGGACCAGAAAAAGAACCCATCAAATACAGTCTCCTGAATGAATGTTCAGTCACTGACTATTTACTGAGCCCCTGCCCTAGGCCTGGCACTATCAGTTGTGCAAATGCCTTAGGCAGAGAGACTCAGTAGAAAATATTTTTATTATAGTATAATCATCCTCCATATTTTTCTAGCTAGAGAGAGTGTGGACAGTTTTACAGGCAAGTGTGTCTCCTAATCAACCTAACATAGTAAAACTCAGCCTCCTGAATCAAACTCAGGAAGAGCTTAAGAATCTGTCCAGGACTTTTCATTGACTTTTAAGATGGAGGCTCAACAAGCTGCTTAACCTGGCCTTGAATTTGTGACCCTCCTATCTCAGCCTCTGAAGCAGCTCTGACTACAAGTGGGCCTCACAATACACCATATATTTATTTCAATTAATCTCTGATAATTATTATTTGCATGGATTCCCTTAATGTTATGAACTCAAATGTATGTCCACCATGTTCTTATGTTGAAGTTCTAGTCCTCAGTATTTCCCAGTGTGACTGTGCTTGGAGACATGGTTGTCAAAGAGGTACTTAATGTAAAATAAAGTCCTTGAATTATTTGAAAAAATAAAAATAAGAAAAATAACAGTCAGCCTCCTACTGCAACAGATAAAGCAACCCACGGCACTACGAGCAAATCTTTTCCTGGTATTTTAAACACAGATATAACCATTAAGAAACATTCAGAGACTGTGGAATATGGATCACTTTACACGACAAGTGGACAAGAGTTGAGTAGCCTTGGCAAAAAGAAATTAAAGCACAATAATAATGAAATGAAATGAAATGAAATGCGTCATCTAGGACTAAACAACCAAAAAAATCTATTTTCAAAACATTTTAGTAACTAGAAAAAGGAATATGGAATATATGCAGTATTATACAGTTACTGCTGGCAGTATTTCTAAATACAAAAACTGAATTGTGGTTATATAGACTGTTTTTGTCCTTTTAAGATGCATATTTAGAATTGATATCTGAATTTTGCTCTTAAATACTCAGCTAACACAAAATCAAATGTAGCAAAATGGTAATACGAGTTGGATCTAGCCCTGTGATTCTCAGCAAGTATAATGATATTGCCTCCTCCCCCTCACTGGAGACACTGAGTGATGTTTACAGAGATTTTGATTGTTGCAATTGGGGAGCAAGGGGTGTTCCTCACACCTAATGGATAGCAGGGATGCTGCTAAATCTACTGCAATGTGCAGTGTAACACCCACCACACACACATATCCAGCACCATGTCTAAAGACTTGATATTTTCCAAAATAGAAAGTTAAAAGTAAAATTAATTCTAAAGTACCAGAATATTCACACAATTACACCTCTCTCTGTCTCTCTCTCTGTCTCTCTGTCTCTGTCTCTGTCTCTCTCTCTCTCTCTCTCTCTCTCTCTCTCTCTCTCTCGCTCTCTCTCTCTCTCTGTCTCATACACACACATACTAATGCTCAGAAATTTTCTGTATCTTCCTGTGTAACATTAGGAGCCCAACTTCATATACACATGCAAGGAGAATTTGGGTTAACGTCCCTCCATGCACCAGTTTCTGCTTCCACTTAGGTTGGCAGTGCAAACCCGGACCACAGCCTGCTCACCAGCTCACTTTGGATTCTCCTCATTGTTCGTCTTCTGCAGTCAGTGCCCCCGTGCACAGATGCAGTAAAGAGCAGACAGGAACAAAGCACACATTGTTGCTTCGTATGTGGCTCATTTTAATAACTCTAAGACTGAGTGCCAAAGTGTGATGTGGGAAGTATGTGGTGTTATATGTACCCGGATCCTTTGGAAATAATGGCATGCAATGCATTATCTATAATCAAACAACCAAAAATCTATTTTCAAACATTTTAGTAATTAGAAAAAGGAATATGGAGTATATGCAATATTATACAGCTACTGCTGGCAGTATTTCTGAATACAAAAATTCTTCACCAGCACAGTTACTGGTAGGGAGGAAAGTCAGGCAGCTGTTGGGCAGGTGTGGGAAGCTTCTCTATTTGTTTTGCTTTTGAATTCTGAGCAAATTGAATGTATAGTTTGTTTCAAACAGAAAATTTAAATTATATAAAAAAAATCCAGCTATACCTATCCATTGGTATCCACAGAAGATAGAGCCAGGACCCTGGCATACACTAAAAACCATGGATGCTCAAGTTCCTTATGCAAAGCAGCCTCGTATTTGCATATAACCTAAGCACATCCTCACTCTGACTTTAAATAGTCTCTGTGTTTCTTTTGTTTTGCTTTTTTTTTTTTTTTTCCTAGCAACAACAGCAGGCAGCATGGAGCAGAGCAGAGAGCCAGTGCAAGAACTGCCTGCATCATTACTGCATGATTCTTACGCAGGCTGTCCATTCTTACATGCTGCTGTACTGGCACATGTGTGCTTACCTGTGCTGTCATGGTTGCACAGCTGTATCGTACCATGCACCTGTGCTTGACAGGCAAGGCCACATCCTCAGGTATCCTTAGAAGCCCTCAAGATTCAGATTCGAAACAGTCTGAGTGGCTCCCTGCACCCCTCCCACAGAGGGCTGGGAGGTACAAATGTAACATCTCTGTGTTACTTATAAAGCTTAATGAAAGGCAAATGCTATGTAAATAATTGTTATATTGTATTATTTAGGGAATAATGATAAGAAAAATGCTTGCATGTGTTCAGAGTAGAAAAAAACCACTGTAAGCTTAACTATATGGAGCAGTCACCCAAGGTTAAGTCTGCTGATATTGTTATGATAAACGACCCCTGGAAGTCTCCTGAGTGTGCAGGTTGATGGGTCATCAAAAGGGCCATGCTGATCATTGGATTTGCAGCTGAATGCGGAGCCAAATCGGCAGTGGGCCCCCTACGGATCATATTTCCCTCTCCCTGCTCTCTCTAGTCCTCTGCCACCCACTTCCTGTCTTGAAACCAACCGTGGAGTGAGAGCGTGAACCACAATGAGCTTCTCCTTTAAGTTGTGTCAGACTTTGTCCCATTGATGGGAAAGTGGCTAAGACAGGCCAGAATCCACGGGTGCGGAGAGCTTGCTGCAGTCCTGCGCACAGCGACACTAAGCAGATGCCAGGTACATCGTCTGGAAGGTGGAAGCAGAGCTGATAATCTGTCTTGTCTGCCATTCTGGCACAGCCTCAACTTGGGGATCCCAGAGTCCTTTTGTTGTTGCTTTGTTTTGCTTTACAGTAAATCTGTTTTATTTTGTAGTGTGCTTTTAATGTAGCAGCAAATTTTAGATAAGCTGTCGTTGTGGGGATGAGAGTATCTGAATTCTAGTCTTGGTTTCGGTAGTTATTATTTCCAGGCACGGGTTGTAACATCTTTTCTATGTCTACATGGTGAAAACATCTTTAAGACATTCTCATTGAGAAATTTCTATGATTCTAACTATACGGTAGCAATGTTTCCTGAAAATAGGAGAAGGAGAGAAGGAAGAAAGAAGAGAAAGAAGAGAAGGAGGAGAGAGGAGAGAAAACCAGAGAAGAAGGAGGTGAAGGAAGAGGAGTAGAAGGTAGAGCAGCAGGAGGGAGGTCAAACGTAAAAGTACACAGAGACCATAAACATTTTTAATTTACTGATACTGGTCTTTGCCATGCTTTGAGCAAATTGGAGTTGATTGCTTACGTTATATGCCTTCAAGACAGAGTAGCAAAAATATTTCTGACAGCCATCTGAGGTAGCACCTCACAAGAAGACATCCATCTTAGTTAGCCATGACTATCGATGTGTACGTATATGGCATATAGAGACACAGGGAATAGTTGTGTATCTTCATATATGCATGAATAATTATTCCTTAAACCACCCCCAATTGTTCCTTATATTAGAAACTTCTAGAGTCAAACACACTCCACTTTTTACTACAATCTTAAGGATTTTTAACCAGATATTTCAGTAGCATTAGATGCCTTTACGCTGTTGTACACTGAAGACCCCCGTCCTTTCAACCCTGACAAGCAGGGATAGACAGCTGAGTTCATACTGAGAAGCAGTTCTCACCCCCTGGCACTGCATTTGAATCATGTTGGGAACTTTTACATGGACTAACACCAGGAGTCTATCCTCCGATCCAGGGAATCAGAATCTCTGGAATCCCTCAGTGCAGCCAGAGCTGAGAACTGCTGTCTGGAGCAGCTTGGATCTACTTTACTCAGAACAGCATGACCTGAGAGGGCTGGAAGAGCCAGGAGAATGAGGAGAGCAAGACTTCAGCACCAGACAGCCGTGCACGGGGTCTCCTGAGAGGGCAGGGAGCACACACAGATCCTCACTCTGATGCATTTACCGTCGTGGCCTTCTCCTTTCATGTGTCACATGTTCTTCTAAAGACCCTTCCTCCCCACAGATACCTTGTTCCTGAGGAGCTCTCACCCTGCTGTGAGAGAGGGACAGACAGATGAAGCCAGAAAGACAGAGGACAAAGGCACACAGGGCAGGGGGAGGAAGGATCACAAAAAGGTGAGAGAGAGCGAATGCAAAAAAGAGAAAAAGTAGAAAGAAGTAGCAACTGACAGAAAGAGAACAGCTGAGACTGAGACAAAGGAAAAGATATCAGATCCCAGGAGGATGTGAAGCTCTCACTTAGAGCTGGATGGATGCAGATGCATTGGTGGTGGAGGCATGAAATCACTTACAAAGCTGCAGCCATCCTCGTCCAGAAAGGGGTGGGCCTGCAACAGGGCGTTGACCACATCATTGTACTGCTGGGTGGTGGGATACCTGTTCACCACAACAAGGAACATGTGTTTCACTTCGCACAGCCAAGATTTGAGGCGGGTTTAAAGTACACTCAGTTTCTCCCAAATCTTTCTGTGTAACAAAGTAGGCTTTGAAAATGTTGGGCACATTGCATTTCTATCCAGCTTGTCATGCAACATCTGAAGAGACTTGAGGCCAAGGGAATTTGACTCTTCTTTGCACAGAGCCTACCCTGAAGCAGCGAGTCCACCCGTGAGTACTCACAGTGAGCCTTCTAGATACTTGGTCATGTCGGCCTGGAGGAACTCAATGATCCTGATCCGCATGCTGTGGTCGGGACACTTCTGCTCTGCTAGCATGCATTTGACGTCATAGGGAAACTCTGGTAGCATGTAGGACCGGGCCCACCGCAGTGCTTTATTCCTTGCTAGAATGGGCTTCATGCTTCTCCTGTGAAACAGACACACAAAGTAAATAAATACATGCCCATTTCAAATATGAATGCACTTTATTAGTTCTCTACACCCTGAAACCTATGATTTAAGCCCCTTTTGTGAGTCTTAAATATGACATCATCCACCCATCTTCCACAGTTCATCTATCCCTGGATACTTCAAGTCTTACTAGGTGTCTCTGTTTTCCTTCTCTTTGAACGCACATAAGTATGTGTGGAGGGGGTGGTGGCTCTTCATTGGGTTAATTCAATCCTAGCAAAAGAAGCTGCAGTTTAGCCTTCCATTGTTAAGATGCTGTCATTCCTTCAGTCCTTCCCCACCCTTATGAAGATGCTGTCACTCCTTCAGTCCTTCCCCACCCTCATTAAGTCACCGTACACATAAAAGAGATAAAAGGAAAACAGAACAAATTACAAGAATCCTGTGACTTCCATGGTTGCCATGGAAACCAAGAAGGTATTTAAGCAGAGAGGAAACAAAGAATGGGGCTTGGTGTGCTTCTGATCTGTAAGGATCAGGGAAGTACATTCAGATGCTGGCCAGACATTTAAGATCTGTAACCCGGGAATGGTCCAATAGATGGTCTTATTAATAAACTGTTTTTTTTTCCAAGTTTCAGTCTGATGTGGAAATAATCTCACCATTTCATTTTTAGTTCCAGAAAAGTGTTATAATAATAGAGAACCTAGAATAAAGACTAAAGTTGGGAAGAAGAGTCATCCATATATCTTGAAGAGATTACATGGAATGCATAGCTCAACACAGAGCAGGATATCTAACAGGAAAATGTCAGTTACAATTCAGCAAAGCAAATGAAGCCTATGGTGAATTAGCCCTAGGATTTAATTCAGAATTTTTTTTTATTCTGCTGTTTATAGTGCAATCCAAAATCCAGAGAGTCTAGGCAGCTTTTATTATTTTAGTATAGTAAATTTAGTGTCTAAGTTAGAAATAAGTATCAAATATTCCAACTCCACTCATATGAATTTTCCACAAAAGATGGCAGAAAGCTGCAACTTCAGAAAGCATATTATCAGTTGCTGAAGGCTGAGAGTGGCCAGAATAGATGGCCTGGACGGCTGCACAGCCTTATCAATTTATTAAATCTAACTAGGTTATATACTTCCAATGGGTGAATTTTGTGTTTGGTAAATCAAATATTAATAAAGCTATTTATAAAATTAAGCACCAGAATCACTTTAAAGCCTTAAAGTTTGGGGCTGAGCATTGTGTGCATTTAGAATCTAAAGTGAAAGTTAATCAAAGGTACCACATAGCTGTCAACTTGCTTCCTAGTAGGACTGATTGGGACAGGACCAAAGGGCTACAGCAAGCCATGCAGATGGCAACAGCAAAATGTCCCACACTCTAGCTAGCAAGGCAGTTGTCGGGCGATGCTGGAGGTCATGGTGGTAAAAATGAAACTCAGCTGAGCTTTGAAAGGCCAAATAACTTTTAGATTTTGTGTCACCTTCTGGTGCAGGTGCTGTAATGGGATATGAGGACTCAGGCAAGCAGGAGAAAGCACTTTTGTATCTCTGATCATGAACTCCCTTGCCTTTTCCTCCCCTTGGCAATCAGTGGTGGAAAAAAAGTCCTGGCTAAAATAAGTACCTTGATAATGCTGGATTCAGTATGGCAACAAACAACTCACAAACACAAATCTCTGCATTGCCCAAACTATTTTCCAAGTATGTTTTCTTTCATGTTATCTACTCAACCAATGTATATTGTAAATCTACTGTATTCCAGCTAGTGTTGCTATAAATCCATTATTTTTTTCTTTCTTTCCCACAGCCAAATTATTTCTCCCCTACCTACTTCGATCTAGGGTTTACAAAGTAAAAACAAATTTGTTGCTAGTGTGTTTTGTCTTCCCCAGAGGTTTTTTAAAAGCAGTGCAATTAGGCAGATACTAAACATGGTTTCCACACCTTTTGGCAACCATCTCCTTTCCAAAACCCAGAGAATCTCAAGGAGCTAAGTGAGCTGCCCAGCGCCCGTGAGGCTGCTTTCACTTATTTCACACCACATCAGTAGATAACTTCAAGATTCCAATGCTGTAAAACAGGTCATGGTACCAGTGTTGGCTTCTGTATTTTCTTTTCATTGGCACCCATTTGCAGCTCACAATGTCTCCATTCCTCGGGCGGAGTTGGTGCACGTGCAGAGCACAAGTCATCGCTTTCCTGCCCTTCCCTGCCCCCTCTCTCCTTTTCCTCTCCTGATCCCCTTCCTATTAGAGATCCGTCTCCCGACTGCTGATTGTCTTTCACTTTGCTCCTTATTTATAATTTGTGTTTCTCATATAAGAGAACCAGTGCCTGAAGATAGGGACTCTAATGCAGGAGATTATTTCTAGCCAACACACAGGATCTACTGAAGGTAGGTACACCATGAGGCTCAAAATAAAATTTTTTGGTACTAGAAATTGAACTCAGGACCTTGCATTCACCAAGCAGAAGCTTGTGCCACTGAGCTATATCCCCAGCCTCAAATGAAGTTATTAGGCATCAAATTTTCTTTTCCTTTAGATCAAAAATTATAAAAAATACTCTGGACTTCACTACAATCCCAACTAGGCCAACTAATACAAGTCAAAATGAGTATTATATAAGAAACCTGGCTCATCAGAAATTAAAAATGTTTTAATTTGGAAAGGGATAACTCCAAGCAGAACCATGTCCCATCTGTAAAACTATATTTGCATTGGATTAAAAACTTTCTTGTGATTTTGGCATTGTTCATATTATCTTCAGTAATATCTCTAGAGTTGATCATAGCATGGGCAGAAGCCACCCTAAGACTGCAGGGTCAGAAAGCATCCCCAAACTTGGGACACTAATAACACTGCTCTTGCCTCAGACCCAGGGCTCTTTGACAAAATCATAAGCATAGAACAACAGGTGTGTAAGTCAATGGATCATTTTAGCTGTTCACCCATCTGTACTCCTGGGACCGGAGCCTCAGGAGGCACTTGACTTGCCTGTCATGTAGGGGCCATTGGAACTCAAATGTTGAAGAACCCAGAGTTTCTAGAGACTATTCCTCCATATGTTGCTGAATTTCAGATGCCATCTCAGGTACTGAGAAAGAGTTCTGGGAACCAATGTGGAAGCATCACTTCAAATTCAAAAGTCTCACAGACACCCGGTGCATGGAAGGGAGGCAGCTTCAGCCTCAATGCCTGACCATCCGGGTATCTCCCTCTTGTACATCACCATGTGTGAGGTGCATGATCACCTCCCAGTTGTCATATGCACGTCTTCTTCCTGTTTCCTGACACTATACCTGGTACAGTGAGTGACACTGATTCAAGTTCCTCCTGTGCCCAACAATCAGATACTGTGCAGTGACCACGGCAGGCACACCATCCTCAGGTCCACTTTTCTATGTAAATCTCTTTGACCGACAGCATCTTCTGTATCCAGTTGTCCTGAGAGTGGAGTTTCTGCTTCCCATTTATGAGGAGAACTTTTAGCCAGGCCTGTCCTTTAAAATCCCCCTGGGGTCCTCCTGGACTTCCCAGAAAGAGAAAGTTACCTCAATTTGTTTATGTATTTGAATTTTAAAATTTACATTTGGAAGGAAAACTTGAATCTGTTCTTTGTACATCAGCCCCATTTAGAGCTATTGAGTATTTGTAGCTATTTTATCTCCACAGAATTGGTGATATTACTTTGGGGAAAAGAATAAAGCTTTTAAACCTCCAAAACATAAAGCTTCCATTTATTTATTTATTCATTTATTGAATGAATTAGAAGAATCTTAAGGGACCAAAACTGTTGTTTCTTTTTAATTTTTTTTTTTTTATGCTAAAAGAACTGTAATTTTCTGTTTGGCTGAAACTAATTTTTTCCAATTTAGTTGACTGTTAAATTCGAGGAATTTATAGCACCCCAAGTTTCTCTGTCACACCTCTCCCCATGACATGGGAGCCAGCTTTGCTTCTGGACTGCAGATGTGGCCATCCTGACAGGAAGGCGCAGGATGCTGCAAAGGGAGGGGTGTGGCTTGGAGGGGCACTCTGGCTTCGTAGCCCAGATGTAAGCCAATTTTCGGTGTTCTTCCCAAGTGTTCCAAAGCCTATCTATTCTAGTCTATCAGCCAGCTCCCAATGCTATCAGCTCGATGGCTACTTGTACTTTTCTCAAACTATCTTTTGGTTTCTCTAAGAACATTTGTTCTCTTCATGTACTTAAGATAAAATATTCCTTGACTGAACAGTGTAGTCATTAGACCTCTCCTCAGGTCATGAATTTTTTTCATTGTGTAACACAAGTCGTTGAAATCAGCACCTGCATTGACAATTGGGGGCCAACACCATGCTCTTGGTCATTGGTGGCTTTTCTGTCACAATCCTTCACATAATGTGGCTCAGCTCTGATCATGTGGGATCTCAGCTATGCTTGGCTTCTTGTTTTAATTTCCTGGCATTCTTATAAAATGGAACAGTTTGGAACAAAGATGCATATAAAAGATCTTAAGATTTGAACATAAGGTTTGAAGAGCAAATATTATTATTATTTTTTAAAATTTTATGTTTTTGGTACAGGGTCTTGCTATGCAGCTCTGCCTAATAGTGATCTTCCTGTTTCAGCCTCCCAAGCACTGGGATCACAGGCATGTACCACCACACCCAGTCTTGGTGGTGGGGTCGGTGCACCCAGAACAGGGCCAGCACAGTATGTGGTACCAGGAATCAAACCTAGGCCCTTGCACTTGCCTAGGCAGGCGCTTAAACCACTGAGCTATCTCTGGGGCCCCCAAGGAGAGCAAACATCTAATTCAAAATTCTATGACCATGTATTTGCTGTATGGCCTTCTGACTGCATAAATAAAATTAACATCTTTCCATCAAGAGAGGCCTATAAACAACCCACTCATGACAGAGGAATCATTGACTAGCAAGATACTAAGACATCCACAGAAAGAAGGGCCAATTCCTAAGGCCTATACCTTCACATTTGAAATACTGCGTCCTATGGCATAGGA